ACTAATCTCAGGAAAATTGGTAAAACAGAGATCAAGCAGTCTACCATTACAATTAGGCGTATGGTTATGTTACATTGAACTTAATTATGATCAAATAATTCGGTAAAGATCACCACAGCTCTATCTCTAGCTCGAGGAATCAAACCAATAATCATCAGTATTATCACTGTTACACCAAACGACTTGAGGCAAATTGAAGTCACCCAACGCAACGACGAAATCAGTGGGTTTAGACTGCTTGGCCACTTCACAAATGTGAGCAGCCTGTTTTTTATATATGGAGATATTAGAATTTGGGGGAATAAAGGAGCAGGTTATAAAAAGCTGTTTATTAGGCATTTTCACTCGAATGGCGATAAAATCAACGTCAGAAGAAGCGAGAAATTCTATTGAATTGGACGCGACTGACGCAGATATGGCAATTAATACCCCACCACCAATACGATTCAATCGATCATTTCTGAAAACCTGGAAAGAATTTTGGAAAAGTTCCGACGAATGAAGATCAGGTTTTAACCAAATTTTAGTGAAGGCCAAATACGAAAAGTCCGTGCTCACTGAATTTAAAACTAATTTTTGAATTTAGGCCCCTAACATTTCGATAAATGACAGATAATAGGCCTGAAGAAACATTTAATTTTTTGAAGGCGACAAGACTACTACGGTTTATTTAACAACATATCAGTATTTTCAGTCGGAACTAACATTTTAAAAGCCGAGATTGCCCTAGATTGAGACGGAGCCAATTTGAAAATGCTACCGCGCTTTAAATTGACTGATGGGACTTTCGCCGCCAGATAACTTTTTATGTTATTTACCGATGTTTCAGGTGCCCGTCTTGACACAAATATTACTTTTCTGGGAGGAACTGCCGTCAAGCAAATGTCATTAGTTGGAACAGGAGGATTTACGGTTGGGGAGTTTAGCGTTGGGGAGAATAAAGATGGCGTTATCGCCATTGCACCAGCAGCTTGTGCGACTTGCCCAGTCTGGTGACCAGCGTTCACATTCGAACAGCCAAGGGGAGAGGATGATTTATATTTCTCCTTATTATTTTTAGGTGATGGTGCTTGATTAGAGTGAGTGGCGGCCCTGGGCGGAGATACCCTTGCCACTTCAGCGTAGCTTAAAACGGAAGGACTTGCCGGCTTGTTTGCAACTATTTTGTTACTAACCGACCCAACAATATCGGAGACATTAACGTTCATTTTAGAGTTAGAGGGAGCGCTAACTTGTACCAACGAATCAGATTTAGAAGGAATCAGAGGCGGCGTACCACACGCTACGCTACGAGTTGTAATTTTGCTAGCTTGGGAAGAAGATGAGTGCTCAATAAAACGACACTCATCAAACGTAGACTTAATTAGCTTAAACTTCTCCCACAAGGAGCCGAGTTTTTTACACAATTCCAAGAAACCATTTCTCGTCTCCGTGAAGAGTTTGTAAAAATTAATGGCCCGCTTCCTATAGTCATAGCCTTTCGAGGGATCAGCCACTGCGTCAGCAGCGCGGCCGATAATACCGGCACACTTTGCATGGGAAAAACGATCACAAAGCCAACACAAAATGAATCGTTCAGACTCTGGCCACATTTTCGCACGGCATGGTGTACATAAGCAATCCATGTCCAGTCAAACACGACAGAAGTGGATTATGAAGGAAATAAAGAACAAATTGCAAAAAGATCCAGAACAAAAATTTTGTGAACAAATTTAAGAAAACTTCTCTGCTACGTTAACACTGTAACAAGAGAGCGAATGCAAAAAAAAGCTGCAAACACAAAAAAGAGAGAAAGCCATATCACCAAAATTCTCTTTCAAATTAGACGTAAATTTCACACTGTTGATGCAATGGTAAACAAAGAGGAAGCCATGACAAAAGTTGTAATCACCAAAAGAAAAAAAGCACGAAAGAGACTTACTATCGAGAGCACCAAACGCTGATTGCAAGAACCAAAATGAATATCACGAAAAAATTTCAATATAACCAATATAATTCTTTCACTTTTATACCTTTTATACATTTATACTTTTACAAACAATTAGGCTTCAAACGCGTAAAAAGCTATAAAGCAATAAGACAAAAGAAAGAGGTGCAATAATGCTTTATACAAATTTAAACCGTACGACCACAGCGCGATCAGCTGCCAAACGGTTTATGTTTTCTAAAGATTTTCTTAGTTGCTTCGACTTCTAATAATCCTCTTGCTATTTAGTATTTCTTTTTAAATGTTTTTATTTTATGTAATAATTCTGGTTGTTATGGTCTTGTATTTCTAATAGTATTGACTCTTGTTTTATAATTTTCTATTTCTTTTAACTTGTTTTCGATTGTTTACTTCTTATAGGTTTTGTTGCCTAGTTTTTTAAGATTAGAAATTATTCTACCTACAGAAATGTTGATTTCATCTATCATTAAAAGAATGAATTTTATGTTTGGAAAGACATGTCAATTTTATTTCGAATTTTGTTTCAAATATCTATATTTGTTACAATTTTCTTTGTTAGATATTTATGAATATGTTTGTATATTGTGCAGCCTAAGTATATTATGGCTATAAGAGCTACTAAGCAGAGATGATTTCTTTTTATATATATAATTGTTTCGGTGATCATTCTATACTGGGTTATTCCCTACTTTTTCTGAAATATATTCTTTGAAGCTCTAGTATATCTTATATCTATATTACGTATATAACTATCGTTACTGTTACAAAGTAGATGAAGTTATCCCTCATATAAACAATGCTGATTTCGTTATCGAGGTTTTCGAGGCCCAGAATTTTTTTTTTTTTTTTTTGAATATAGTTTTGGATGTGTATGTAATTACTGTTTGCTGTTGTTCTTCCTATTGTCGAGCCCTATGGCGTTTACTTCTTTCCAGTATTGAGTGGAGATGTCCCATGGCATTGGTTGTAGTATCTGTTTTCGCAGGAAAGCGAGATGTCTGCTTTTTTTTTGTGTGGGATGTAGGTGAGCTGTTGCACATTCACCTCTTTGAAGGTATTCTTCTACGGTGCCTTTTTTTGGACCTTGAGTATTCACGTGAATGTATGTGCAATTCATTGTAGGTTATAAGTTGAGGTGTTGGTAAGATTTCAGTTCGGTTGTTGTAGGACTTTTATGATTGACGGCGTTATGACCAAATTGACAGCAAAATAATAATGTAATATGGAACAGGATTACGAACTAAGTGGGATCGGTCACAGGATCGATTGCAGGATCGCCATGTATTAAAAATGAATGATTACGAGGAAGACATCGTCGCGTATTAATGGTAAAATTGATTTGGTATGCTTATGCGAACGGCATTAGTGTGTGTTCATCTTTTGTATTCAACATATGCTGTTCGGCTTATAACGCCAAAACTGTCAACTTCTTTCAATGCCAATACAAGATCGGCTAGAAGTTGTCCCTAGCTAGACATTAAGCGGATGGAACGCTTGTTGATATTTAGCAAATGAAACGCTTCATTTGAATTGTCGTTTCACAATTGAATTATTTAATTTTACTACGGCTATTTATACACAAATTTTATAGATGAAAATAATTGTGACGGATTTCTTCCTTTTCTTTTTGCAAATGAATTATACTGATTTTTCATAATTCATCACACTTCAAAGTGCATGCATATTAACCATGATATGCGTTCAGACTATACTACATTCTGAAGCAAGGCGAATGGCGAATATAATCAATTGCTTTTACCATATAACGGTGCTTCTAAGCCGGGATATTCTTCAGGCCCTTCTAGAAGGTTCTTTTCCAAAAAATTTATAAACAGAATAAATATACCTGGATCTTCGTATCTATAACAATTTCTTATCTTATTTCTCGGAAATTATGGTTGTGAGTGTAATCAGTAAGGGCGAAAAACCCCTTGTAAAGTAAAGTAATCGGGGTCAGCGATTGAGCTAAGTTACCCAACTCGCTAAGTTAACGATAGTATTCGTTGTTCACGGACAGTAACTAAGGTAAACCATCCATCCTCTACCCATAAAGTAGTAAATTACAAACTAGTGCGAAGTTGTGCCGTAACATAATCTTGTATCTGGAGAAAAATGGAATCACAACTTCGTCAAACCTCCTCTCTATTAAAAGATCTCGCATATCTTTTCTATAGGATCAATAGTTGTGAAGGCATTATTGAAGCCATAAAATCACAGATTCTTCGTTGTACAGCCAAGCTTGACGGTGGAGCCTTCCTCAATGCCTAACTAACCTATGGTAACGCCTAACTCATTTGTGCAAGTCGACAACTAAGGTAAGTTAGACCTTAGACCTTGTTTCCGCGATCGAAGGAACCATCAACAAAACAAATTTGGATTTTCAATGTATTTAACAGGCACTCGTATTTCACTACCTTAAAAGCAAAAAATCTCTTAAATTCGCAGATGGGACAAAAGACATTCTCACACGAGTATAGAGCAATATTTTCCCACACCGAGAGAGGGAACAACAGGAACAAAGCTTCTACAAAAATACCAATGCAAAACAGACTATGAGACAATAAACATAGCAATAAATTTGGTGGTGAAAGCATTGCGTTACCCCACGGCCACTACAACATCAACTAGAAGAGAAATCTTACATCCATTAAAATTTAAATTGAAAGATTCGGTAATTTTAAATAAAAAATTACCAAAAATATGTACTTACGGAATTCAATTGTATCAGGGAGTGGAATTGGTGACATTAAAGTACCATATAAAACAACAAAAACAGTAACCAGAGAAAAGCTAAAAATATAAACAAACTCTCTGAAAAACTGCTGCATACCATAAATAGATGAAAATAAACATTACACCAACAAGCAACTAAATAGGTTTTATAAACAATAAATATTAACCAAGAAGGCGAGCTTGCATTCAGAATTCTAATTATTTTTATGCATAAAAACTATCAATAACTAACAAAACGTCAGCATATATAAAAATTTTAGATTATCTCAATTACAAACCTAACAAATCGACACCTAAGTAAAAAAATTCGTTGATTAAAACTCACCTCTACTTATAGCACCAAGGAAAACATTCCAATGGCGCAAAAAACCAGTAAACAACACATATCCACTAATCAGTCTAGAGAATGTATTCGACAAACTATATAAGGATAAATATTACCCCAACCTCTTAATCGTATTTTCCTCAAATAACTTCCAGAGACTGTTGACTATGGGGTGCCATGAGGTGCCAATGTTTTGTGTACGTCGACGACATAATCGTATTTAACCGCAGCTTATAACACCATAATGATAATCTCATTAAAATATTAATTTTTAAATTAATATGTGGGTTAAGAATAAAAAAAATTGAAATAAAGTAAAATTCAACATATTGCAACAAAGTAAGCATAATGGCTGTTTATTAACAATAATTCTATATAAAGCCGCTGTAAACTAAATTTAATGGGTTTCTCCAAAAAAAACCGGAAGGTTCGCGGACAGTAAGTTAATTATAATTTCCATTCGAACGTTCCACTTTCAATTATTTTATTTTTTGTTTTAGACTTGGATGAACCATAAATGTCGAACAAAAAAGAAGATGATGACCGAAGGAAGAAGTAGAACTGATTGATTAAATTGCAGACTTAGCAAATTGAGACGTAGCAGTCGAGAGGGTTAAAGGGGTACTGAAATTTGGCGCTGCGGTCATATCTTTCGATAGTGATGCGCTTCTCTCCGCCAGTAGAGTAGCGTAGTGAGTAAACTTCTAATTTGCAATCTTCTGTTTGGTTTAAATTGTTTTAATGTGTTTAGAAACTTCAAGCAAAATCAATTATTAAGAGAGAATATCGATGACAATAGATCGTCAATGTACTAAAGCTGAAAAAGGAAAAAGTCGAATACGTTTTTCGCCAGATTTCAAGTGATTTCGAGAATGATGACCAGGACTTAGTTAAACCCTTTATGTTTCCACTCTGATTTGATCTAAAGGGAGATCATTTTAATTCCTTATATTAACAAATATATTTATATTTTTTTATTTTTATATGTACATATACTACTTTTTAATATATATATATACTACTTTCCATTATGGTATGTATTAATGAAATTATAAAATAAATGACAATTAAATAGAAATAATAATAAATTTATAGTGAAAGTGTTGACGCTAAATTATTTATTATTTGTTTTCTTACACTTTTTTTTACAAGTTTTTAGGTAGGGCAAAGGGATTCGCAATGAAGATATCTAGGTGTAAGAGGCAATGTTACGTTAAGAGGTGACCATTTTATTAAAAAATTTCGCAAATAATTGTACAACCCTTAAAAAAAACTAAAAATTAGGGATACTAAGAGCATAACTTTTGAAAAATATTAACCGATGCAGTTAATCTCTTAAGACTAACTAATGGGCGTCTTTGCAATTCAATGCGAATTAACAAAATTTATAGTAAATCATCCCATCCTCAGAAAAATTGTAAAACAATAGCGGAAATAATTATTGAACAATTTTTTCTAAAATTTTGTCATTTAGAAATTCTAATATCTGATAGAGGAACTGAGTTCACTAATGAGATCTTAAATAGTAAATGTGAACTACTAAAACTCCAAAAAAATATTTATCGCCCCACAGCACCTTCCTTTAGGCACTCTAGAACGAAATTTAGAAGTATATTTTAGCATAAAAAATGTCAATTGGGACAACTGGATACTTTATAACTGTAATCAACAACAAAATCATTCAAACGTAAATAAGAGTGAATTTAAAAAACAAATATGGAGATACAATATGGGCGTACTTTTTTTGGCATTTGCATAAATTTATTTCAGTAACCGTCAGCGGTTCCTAAAGGTCAATTACAAAAGAATGAATAAAGCGAATGCTGCTTTTCTTCACATGCCACTCAAATATGGCCAAAATTTTAATAGAAACGCTGCCCAAGGGGGGCAAGAGCTGAATATAATGCGGGATCAGCTAACAACGGAGCTAAGTTCAGCAAACACCGAACAAAGATATAGCGCCATAGCGAAAAATAAATCGACAAATATAATCATTGCATTCAGGTTGACATTCATAAAGTGATTGTTTTTCATTGAAGTTCTGCTGTTGTTTGTATACTAATTTTCTACTTGTAATTCTTACATATATTTGTATACTTACGATTGAATTCTTGATGATAAGCAATAATTTGATTGTTGAGCAATGCGTTGCTTATCGCAGTTTTTTGGTATATCTGAAATCCGTTATTATAGGAAGTTAGCATTTGTAATTTGACTTGTAAAACATAACTTAACTTATAACTATAAGTTAACTTATAACTATAAGTTAAGAAACTAAGCGGAGCAAACAAAATGTGAAGCTACCTAGCATATGCTTTCAGTTTTAGTTGCTATCTTAACGCAATAAAGTGCGGCCACGCTGATCAACAAAAAGGCATCACTTCGGCAAAAAGGTGGGTTTTATGTAATAGGCTACACTAGTAAAAAACCGTGGAGAAACAATTTCGTCTACAGTGAAATATTCAAAACGAACAAATTATGGAGAAAGAAATAATTGTGTGCATAGAAAATAAAGCATAATCCCTATAAAATAAACTACACGAAAGAAAGGCAACAAGACACATCAACTGACCCGTGAGAGTAGAAACTTAAGATAAATTAGTCATAAAAAAAAAAATTGTATTTTAATATAAGATACTTAAGTTAAATTATCTTAGTATATTAAATATTATAACACAAAAGCACATAATAATAATAAATAATGGGAAACCCAAAAAATCTAATCCGACCGTTAGTCCTTTCAACAAACACTACTCCTAATATAAGCTCTGCCTCACAAAATACACAGTTAAGTTTAGAAAGTTGAACTTCACTAACTTTAAATATAACAACAGATATCTTTATACAACAAGAACACCACGTAGTTCAACCAACACTTAATCCGAATGCTAGGTTAGCGAACGCTAGGATTCAACGAATTGAAGATAGACATAGAGATAATTCAAATGATCTGCACAAGATACCATATATTGTAAAATGTTTGAAACTATTTTCGGGTCAAGCGGCTGAATTCAACTCCTTGGAGGAAAGCGTAGATATACTACTAGCTATATACGAACCACTTAGGGAGACACCTAAGTGCTATGGCATTGTAAGCGTAATCAAGAATAGAATCACAGGCAATACAGACAAACATTAGAATCATATAATACACCTTTAATTGGGTAGCAACGTGTTGCTATTTTTATATAGGTGATATCATTATTTTCAACAGAAGATGACCACACCAGAACACTAAATAAGGCCGAAGAACGTTATACCGCCAATAAAAAGGAAATGCTCGTCTCAACATGTATTGCTGCGAAATTACTTATACGGGTTGGCGAAGGTCAAAATATTTACGGACTACTAGCCGTTAAACTACGCATTCAGCATAAGAACAACAACAGTAAAATGAAGAGATGGAAATCGATTTTAGAGGAATATAGCTATGAATTATTTTATAAGCCTGTCAAACCTGATATTGTAGCGGATGACTTATTTATTTATTTGTTTCAAATTCGTTACAAATAATTTTCAACGAATAACGAGAAGAACTACTTAAAAAACTAAAACTTAAACTGTAAGCTAATACTATACCAATATATGAAACTTATTTAAATCTAACCATTTAGCGCGGATTTTGTTATTTAATTAATTACATTATCCACCATGGCAAAACCATTTATTATATACCACAATTTTCAATTTATAACCGTGTGTGTTATAATAATAGTATAATTTTAATTGTAAACAGTAAGCTGATCGAGACGGTAATAATTCCTGCTATCTAGCCTACATAACAAGCTAAACGGGTTAAACAGTAGATAATTCGTGCAGCGATGACGGAATCTCAAAGGAATATAGTGTCGCAAAGACCGACTCGGAACATTGAGCTCGACAATACTTTATAGATAAGAAAGAAAAGGAGGAACCAAATCCCGAATCAATTTAACCATAAAAACCATCCCATTCATTTCCTGTCTTCTGACTAGCGACGGTAACGGTTAAGTTTGTTTTCATATGGGTGAAGAATTCCAGCGAAATCCTTTGGCAGACCGCGTAAAGTAAAGCGAAAAAAATTTCTCTGCCCAGAGTCTACTCGATCAATGTGACATTGATAATAATGTGTCCACCTAACGGCAAAATATTTGAAACTCGCACGAACAAGCGCAGTGTACAGACGCTTGCAAATATACGGAACATTAAAACCTTTACTTCATCTCGTAACAAAGTCCACATCCGACTTAGCCTTGTTAACGGAAAACTCAATGTAAAGGCCTAACTCGAATCTAGAGTCAAATAAGACACCCAACTCTTTAAAGGATGTAAAGAATACATTCTCCAGCAAATAATTGTTGATAGAACAGCAAGTAACCAGTGGAGACACCCAGTAAAAATACACTTGCATTTGCTTAAAATATATGACATACTATTGACAGAACATCAGTCATTTGAAGATGATAAATCCAACTGCGGTTCATTAGTGTCCAGCAGTCACTTAACAAAAGTATACATTTCTACATCAACCCCGAACATAACAATTTTAGAAGAACAGACACACGAAGAAAGATCCTTAATGCATAAAATAAATATTCCATGTGACTTTCCTGAGGAATCCCCGATGAAATCAAGATTTCCCGCGTGAAACTGGACTTAAATAACACTCTCCGTACGAACCGTAAGGTACTTGAAGAACTACATTAACAATTTCTGAGGGAAGCTCAATCGACGAAGCTCAAAGGTCAAAAGTTCATGTTTCACTCTATCAAATGCTTTTTAAAAATCCGTATATGTCACATCCATTTGCTTGTCCAAAGCAAACGCTTGAGCAATATCGGATTTCAGCTCCAACAAGTTACTAAATGTTGATCTGCCTTTGCAGAAGCCGTGTTGACATGGTGATAACACTGGCGTTATACCCGTGGATAATCTCGCAGACAATGAAGTTTCCAATAACTAGGTAGGACACTGAATTGTTAATGGTTCTGTAATTATTAATGCTGTCTCTAGAACCAGTTTTGCACAAGCGAATAGTAAAACTAGTTGTTCATGCTAAGGGGTACTAACCAACCTAAAGACAGTTGTCACAAACATGCATCATGGGATTACAAAGCACATCCGCACAATTTCTGGAAATAGAAGATGGAATACCGTCCGGCCCCAAAGACAACTGAACTTGAGAGTAGAAATAGCCAATATTCTCATTGAAGATATTGAAGATATTAAGTTTCGTGTTGAGGCCACGCACATTGTGGTAAAGGACAGTGAGTGTGTCACTTCGTCTTTTGAACGCTCCTCGCAAGACTGCAGTCTTATAGGCGGATTTTTCATTTTGCGAGCTGAAAATTCTTAAGCAAAGGCGCCCTCAGACAATAACACCCCTTCAGCATCTCCATTAAGTACGTTATCAATTGCGATCAATTTCCACGAAAGTTCAGCTCACTATAAACAGTGCGGAATCTCCCATTAATGCTTTCAAGAACCAAATATTTCTAAATAGGGACGTAACTTCCACATACCAGTTTAAGGTAGCGTTCCCAGCATACCGCCGCCATATCACTAAACCACATTGTTCCCAGCAAAAGCGAATTGACATCTTAAAACATTATTTTAACACATCTAACATAAACTGCATTAAAACGGAGGAAAATATTATGGGTAAAATTCAGCAACCAATCCTTAGCATTTTAGTAAATGCAGGATTAGATTCCCTTAGATGCAAGTAGAACATGTAATATATAACTAAGAGCAAAAGGATATACTAATAAGAACTCACAATAGAACGCACAGAAACTGTAAGGAAAACGGGGCATAAATCTTTGAAAAGTACTATTTTCCCTCTACGGCAAACAAAATAAAACAACTTATTAAAA